ATGCTATACCAAGAAAAAAAAAAAAAAAAAAAAATCACAGTGCAAAGCCAGTTTTCAGGCAGCAACCCAAGAAGTACTTCTGAGTTTTGCACCTGTGTATTGCTAAGCATCCAGGTGAAGAAATACTAGCCAGCCACCACTGGCTCTCACACTGTAATTCTTCCCGGAACAGCTATGTAAGTAGCAACTACAAGGCAGGACAGGTATCTTGAGCTAAGGCAAGACACAACGTTTTCAAGGTAGCCCTTGTACTAAGCTGTGTGTTACACTGCTGTCACTCCATACGTTTTTTATACTTGTCAACATGATCCTGTTTGCAGTTAGTGGTGGGACCAAATTATTTCCCCTTTATTTTTTCCTGAGAGCGCCACCTATTTATGTTAAGGTTACCAATATAATGGAAACTGTCATCTTTCACTGTAACAATTTAAAATATATATTCTATTTACTAGTGTAAACACTTAAAAGACTATTTTTAGACCAGTGCTCAGCTGAAACAATAGCAAAAAGGAATTTAACAGCATTTTCTGTTGAACCTACCTCCACTTTCTCTGTTAGCAGCTCTTTGCAGGGTGTCTAAGTGCTGGGACAGTTCAGGAAGCTTCATTCGTAAAAGATCTCGGAAAACAGCCATATCCACAGAGAGAGCACGGAGATTATTGACAAAATAGCTATCAGGAAGCACCTTATCAATTAGGTAAATCATGATCTGTGGGGAAAATGAAATATAATTGTGTAGGACTTACAGAGCCAGTTATTTTCTAGGAATAACACACAAAAAAAGAGAATTTTAAAGTTCTCTGCTCACTAAAGAATGGCTTGGAACCAGTGGCACCACATGCCTCTGGTATCTCCATTTATACGGGGAGAAAGCATAATCATTTTAAGCATCCATAGGTACTTTAGGTATCCACAAGCAATCAAGGTGCAAAGGCCTCTTGAAGCTGTCCAGAATTTATGAACCATTAATGACCGAAATCAATGTCACAGTAAGCTACGCCCAAATAGGAAGCGGTACTCAAACCAAAGACAACTTTTGGCACTTGTGATGCTGTACGTGTTTATGAGATTCTTCACACTGTTGGAAAGTTCCACTGTCCCTTCTCTGGTTGTAAACTGCCACAACTAGAAGACTGATCTTCCAAATCATCTTTTTTCCCCTCTAAAATGCAAGATACTGTTCTTTAAAAAAACATTCTCCACACATTTTACTGCGATGTGTTACTGTGTGCTGCACTTCATCTTGTCACTTTAAAAGGTGCTAAATTAAGCAGCATGAGACACTTTAAACACACATCTGCTTCAAGTGAGATAGCTCAACTACATGGGAGGTAATGTATTAATTGGATACTGTCAAACTTTTGAGAATGAACAAATGCAACAAAGCAATATGCAGAAGTTGATGTATATCATCAGCCCAACAGAAGATGCTGACCTTGACTTCAGGATCTTTTACAATCTCTATGGCCACTCTGCGAACTGTATCTAGAGAGCCTGCATGCGGTCATCCCGTCTGCTTCAACTCTCCATTACTCCTTTGTTAATATTTCAAACGAGTATCCTTGATGGATGGCATGAAAGGAGCATGGCACTTTCATACACAGTAGACAATCCTCCTTCCAATCCCTCTCTTTTCGTAAGATGACCACAAAAATAGCTTGGCAGACACTGGACTTCCAAGAGCACCACCTTACATAGTCTTCCTGCTTCCTTTTCTCTCACAGCTGCTTGTGACCAGATACTACCACCTGTCCTTGCAAGATTTTTTCAGGCAATAAGAGTCTTCTGTTCCATGTTGTAAAGCATGTAGATCAGTAGTTGATACAGGCAAATCAACAGCTTTTACACTTTTTTTTTTGTTTTTGTTAAGTTTTCAGGATTGAATGGAAATAGGTGATCAAAATATGGTATGCAAGTAAGCTGGAGTCTCATATTTTGTCAGATGCATTCCCTAGCCTTTGCTGAATACTGGGACACCTCATTGTCTTTCAAAAATATGCTTTATTTTGTGCAGAAATAATTCAACCAATGGAAGAATAATTTAATATAACAACATTAACTTACAACAATGCTATTTGTGTTTTCATTAATTTCTTATGACATAAGCCATAAGTCCCTACCTTAAAGAAACCATTTTATAAAGGCTTTCGCTCCCTTCCCACTATGTGGTGGGAGCAAAATCAAGAAATCTCAGATATATGAGAGCATAGGAAAGAACAGAAATCTTTTTGCAACACTGAAGTCCTTTCTATTTCACTGGCATGTGAATTGTTTTTAAAAAAGCAGCTTCACACATCTACCAGTTTGCAACAGATATTTTCTTCATGACATCTCTCTCTACACATTTCATTTTATTATTTGTCTTTGTAATATTTCCCCACAATAATGTGCAGGAAAAAATGGTTTTTAAGTTTCAGTATCTATGAGAGTTTTATGTATACTTTGATAGCTTCTGTACATGCAAACTGTGATTTTCTTGCTTACCATAACTTTAGTAGGCTAACTTTGAGGTGTCTTAAGAGATTTAACTTAAACACGCTTACCTTAACTACTGAAGACTCAAGCATCCCTGGCATTCACTGAAGCTACCATGTTGGCTCCTGTGCTGTTAAAGCCCCATGATGTCCACAGTACCAGCTCTTTCCCAGCCTCTGGGAGACACTTCCCAGACACAGAGCTTTTGTTTATAACGTCCTTCCCAGAAAGGGGACCTGACTGGCGAGCCCCGAGAATCCCCTTGCTCCCTTAACTCCTAGACTCTGCAATAATCCAAACATAGTTTCCCCATAGCTCCAATCCTGAGGGCAGCTTTACAGGTACCAGCCTCTGCAGCTGTTCCAAAGTCACTCATCACTTGCTTTAGATGCTCTCTCTTCTGGGGAAATTCCAACCCTGCAAAGTCCACACACTAAGCTTGGAAAAGAAATTACTTTATTTTCCATTCTTATTTTTGCCAGGTAAGACCCATTTTGGTGCTAACAGCCTTCAGTGCTTTACCTCCCCAGGGCAGTCTGGCGCCATTCCATTGTCTCCTTAGCACAAGGAGCCTGACATCGCTCACAGTAAAAGACAATCCAATAATATAAGGATGCACACAGTTCTCATAATCAATTTGGACTTCATAACATAGGAAATATGATTGCCCAAGGTTTATCATAACATGTTTTAGGAGCTTCTGGACAGTATAAGATCACAATAAAATGTGACAAATTATAGTTAAAAATACTGAGGAAATTTTTAGCAAGAATTATTGAAAGGAAATTTTACTCTTTGATATAAAGTAGGTATATTATGGTATTTTCTTCCTATTACAGGCAGCTCTCTAGAAAGAAGTATTAAATACCAGCTAGCTGGACTCGACTACCACAAGCTTTATATTTTAGGAGCTCTGAGTGTATTTAAATATTTAACATATTTAAATCATTGTCTAAGGCAAAACAAACAGCTCAGTATCTCAAAGTCACAGTCAAGAGTCACAGTCATCCTTTACTAATTTGACCCCAACTCACACGTATGAGGAAGTTTACTTAAGGAAATTTGCACATGATCTTGGCAAACCTTAAACCACGTCCTGCAGTAAACTGTATTTCCATTTTCTGACATATTATAAATTTCATGAAGCTTTCTTTTAATTAGAATACAAAAGGCCTAAATAAAGTAAAACACTGTATGACTAACGTAGCCCAGAAAGTAGTTTCAAAGTGATTTACTTTAATTTTAAATATTTATTTTTGTGTTTTCCTAGAATTTGCTTTAAAATGCAGCAGATTTATTAACTGCCTTGCATGCTACTGCCACACAAAAGGCTGATAATGGAATCTGAAGGTTTCAGCTACCTATGGTGTTTGGAAGCAGATTTGGGATTATGCAATAAGGTGTTCCAAAGTCAGTAGCAGTGTTCCCATTTATTTTTATTACGGCCAAGCCCTCCTTTGTTTCTGTTTGAAAAAAAATTTAACAGTGATAACATTCAAACTGTTCATTTTAGCTCAGACAAGATAACAAACAATCTGCAGGTATAAATTGGTTAACTCCTTTGAGTCCTGCTGTTTTAGGCTGCCTACAAAACTCATGCACTGGTTTATTCTAAAGTTCACTAACTAAAAGCAATTTTCAACACTGAAAAAAAATATTTTACTCACTTTCAGGGCATCCCCTTCATTGCCCTCCATTACTTCCAGAATAAGTGCAGCTAATATGTTAAATCCTTGACAATAGCCAACAGATTTATTCCACCTGGCATAAGCCAGCAAAACACGTTTTAATACCACTCGATCTTGCTCTGCCTCCTGGCCACAGTAAGAACTGCAACCAGTTCGGTGAAGGTCCTTTAAATAAAATAAAATAAAAAAAAAATTAAAAAAAAGACAAGAAAAGACAGAAAAGATGTGCATTTTCCTTCCCCCTTTAGTTCTCCCACCTGTCCCGGTTTTCCTTCCACCTCCACCCTCCCAGTACATACTCCCAGAGTTGATGACAATGTTTCTTTTTTAATCTGTGAACCTTTAGCTTACTGAAGAGAAATAGGTTCAGCAAGCTCTTAAGGAAACAAGTTACCTAAAAGATGCCGGTATGAAGTTGCCACAGAAGGTATTAACAGATATCTAGATTTCAAAGAGGCAAGACATAACAGCTGCTTAATTGAACAAAAAAGAACAACTGTTTTTATCTAAGTATAAAAGAACTACTAGGCAACTAAGTTTTCCAAACATAAAAAACCAGAAACAGTGTCCTTGAGATTTAAGCAATTTATAAGTGAAAGTAAAATTTACAAGTAAAACATGTACTACAATGTTTAATATTTCATGAGTAATATCTATAAGCTTAAATTACCAAGTACAGATGACAATTGTAATAGTCAGGAACACAAAGTATTTTGCTCCGCGTACTCTAATTAAGGTGACTACAGAACACGTCTCCTAAATAGAATACCTCCTAAATAGGTAAATAGACCAATATTTAAGTCACCACAGCAATACAAATCTATTAAGCCCTTCCCTAAAACTGCCCACTGCTTTAAATATTAAAAACATTAATTAGCTGAGAAATATACATAAAGGTGGTTTCATTCCTGCAAAATAACTGAAAAATGCTCAATTGCTATATTATAAAACATCTTTTTTAATCCCAGCAAATATTTGTGTTCATTTATAGAGAAGAAAAAAACCCACTTATGTTCCTTTGTCTCCATTAAACTCCAGTATTTCTTTTAAAATAAAAAAGTAGAAATTGAGCAAAACAAAAAAATCAGTAAAAGCAATTTTTTTACCAGCTAACACTAACCAGACCAGTGCAGAAGAAGGACAAAAAAAGCCGAAGAAATAGTTTTGGTGGGCCAAAGGGAATTAAGGTGTAATTTTTGCCAAAGTAGTTGCAGAGAACAAAATAAATCCAAACTCCATCTATTTAAAAAAAAAAAAAAAAAAAATCTTCACTTTTCATTAAAAAATTAAAATAAACTAAAAAATTAGCTGGCTACCTTTACTATCTGGATGCCCATAGAGTCATCATCAGGATTACTTCTTTCATTGAATGTGAAACGCATGGTTTTATCCCAGTCAATGGCTATACTGTGTAAGTACTGATCAGCTAGGGTCAGCCAAACCTAGAAATACACAAAGCAAGTCAACAAAATGAATTATTTCTCAGATAAAATATTAACAGTTTTCATATATACCGTTAGATGAACCTTGTCAGGTTCACCCATATGTGATCTGCTGTTAGACATGAAATATGCAGAAGAGGACTATATCTAAAACAATTTTTGCACAATTGAAGTAATACCTTGCTCCTTACAACAGAAAGGAAGGAAACAGTTAGCATTAAGTGTCCAGATCTGTGAACTGCTTACAAAGATGCAAGTCCATTGTCAGAAACTGAATCCACAGGGGCCCTCCAAGATAGAAGCACATCTCCTGCAAGGACCCTCCTTGCCAGTTCAGCCCTTCTAACCTCATAACCAGCATGGAGTTTTATACAAAGGTAACACTGCTGCAGGCTTTCCTCAAACTCAACCATGGATCCATCTCCTGGAAACCCCACAAAAGAAATCTAGTGGTGTTTCTCTTTACCAGAGGTCTCTTCTGATCAACTTTGCAGAAGAAATAGCGTCTAGTATTAACCATTTGGGATTGATCTGAAAGCATCACTTGGATCAGAGTAACTTACTCTTACAAGAGGGCTTCCTAAACTGTTGATGCTACAGGAAGTTCTGAAAACAAACATTTTGACTACTTTTAAAGCCTAATAATTACTAGAACAGATTTATGCATGTGTATCTAAGACAACGGCTGGACCTTTATTAAACATTTGAAAAGTTCCTGAACCATGAAAGACACATGACAGATCATACAATGACAACAAGTAACAATAAAGAATCTTTCTCTTCAGGAAACTGAAAGAAATCATGAAAGCAAATCGGTCGAGTTTCATATCAGCCGTTAACTCACTCAAGTGAGAAAAGCAATTCAGACACTTCCCACAGATTTAAACACTTAGATAGTTGCATGATGAAGGAATTTATAGACAGCTCCCAGAATCTCATGTTTTCTGCATTTAAACGTCCCTTCCCACACTTTTGCAAAGCCACCCATGTGGAGGAATGCCGCTGTTGTGCCTCCCAGCACCCTTTGGCACTGCTGACATCCTACTGATGTTGTTTGACTGGATTCTTTATCTCTGCTAGCCCCAGAAAACAAATGTCACATGCCACAGCAATAATGCAGATGTCACCCTGCTCCTTCTGCTGCCAGCAAAGGAGGGAATCAGCATGCTGCTAACACAAAATGCTTCCTTTATTTTGGTATCAATCTTAAAATCATTGGGAAACCAGGGAATAGCAGTCAAAAGACCACATCTCTTTTCTTAACGCTACTTCTTTGGTTAGCATCGTGTGGTCACGTGTGAGCAAACACAGAGATGGGCAGAATGAGAAGGAAAAGGCAGAGATCTGAGTTGGATGATGTGGCAGAGCATATCCTCAGCAAGTCTACTGATGACACAAAGCTGGGAGGAGTGGCTGATAAGCCCAAGAGCACCTTGACAGGCTGGAGAAATTGGCTGACAAGAACCTCATGAAGTTCAACAAGGAGAGGTGCAAAGTCCTGCACCCAGGGAGGAACAACCCCAGGCACCAGTATATGCTGGGGACCACCCAGTTAGAAAGTACCTTTGCAGAGAAGGAGCTGGAGGTCCTGGTGGACACCAAGTTGACCATGAGGCAGCAATGTGCCCTTGTGGCAAAGAAGGCCAACAGCCTCCTGCACTGCATCAGGCAGAGCACCGCCAGCAGGCTGAAGGGGGTGATCCTTCCCCTCTGTTCAGCCCTGGTGAGACACACCTGGAGTGCTGGGTCCAGTCCTGGGCTCCCCAGTACAAGAGAGATACAGGGCTACTGAAGAGAGTCCAGCAAAGGGCCACTAAGAGGATTAAGGGACTGGAGCATCTCTCCTATGAGGAACGCATGAGAGAGCTGGGACCGCTCAGCCTGGAGAAGAGAAGGCTCATACAGGATCTTATCAGTTTATATAAATACCTGAAGGGAGGGTACAAAGAAGATGGAGCCAGGCTCTGCTCAGTGGTGCCCAGTGACAGGACCAGAGACAATGGGCACAAACTGAAACACAGAAGGTTCCGTCCGAACATCAGGAAACACTTTTACTGTGAGGGTGACAGAGCACTGACACAGATTGCCCAGAGAGGTTGTGGAGTCTCCTTCCTTGGAGATATGCAAAAGCCATCCGGACACAGTCCTGGGCAACCGGCTGTAGGTGGCCCTCCTTGGGCAGGGGTGTTAGACCAGACAACCTCCAGAGGTCTCTTCCAACCTCAACCACTCTGTGATTTTATGACCTCTGTTACTGATGTACCACAGAAAAGTGTCTGAGAGACTTACTGGAGTGTGGGAAAAGAACATTCCAAGAAAGAAAAAAGGCTGTTAGATGGATATAATGATTCACTGGAGTTGTAGGTTAAAAATAAAATCATAGAGGTGTGAGGAAAACAATGCCACTATAAGTCTTCCATTTCCTTCCCCACTGATTTGTAAAGAGGAACCGTTCGATTTGGAAAGATAGCAAAAAGAAAACAGGAAAAGAAAACTTATCTGATGCATCAAAATATATGTAACTACATATATTTTATAAAGCTTTACAAATATTCTTTTTATTAAAATTGCATTTTTAAAGCTGAGATCATGTGACGCAGTTTTATAGAAAAGATTATTAGACATGCCTTTTTTTAGGCTAGGGAATTTCAAGCATTGTTGAAGAAAGCAATAAGGTAAGTTCAGCAAAATCCCACTGGACTCTTTCCTACAACACTAACTCAGTGCAATTTCCCATTAATGGCGCACTCTACCATTCTACATCACTCCTGACTCTGAACTTCCCTAATTTAGGCAATCTGCCTTTCCCCCATCAAATCTTTCTATGAGCATTCCTGTCAGCACTAGCATCTATCAACTTCACCTTCATAAGTATGACAGCCTACACAGGAGATTTGCTCTCCTTCCAGTTATCTTCAGCTGCGGGGGCAGCTTCACCAATGCAATTCCTTGAGACTGACAGAATGAAGCAATAACATCTGCACCAGAATAAGTTACCTAAGCCTCAAGCAGAAAGAGCCCGACTATTGAAAACACCATCTTTACCTGTCTCCTCAGTCTCTCCAGCTGCCCTGTGAGGTTATCACTGAAGAATGTAAACTAGGAAAAATCCCCAGTACAACGTAAACTTAAAACTTCCAAATACTTGTTAAAAAACACTGATAATATTGAAGTCATTCACCTCTCCTGAGAAACAGGCAATATATCCCACAAAGCATACAGATCTACCTACCTTTCTCCGCCATTCTTTCGGTATGCCTGTCGGCAATCTGGCCACTGCTTTGAGCGCATCATGCCACTAAAAGCAAAAGCATCCAAAAATGTATAAAATCCACCATTAGTTTAATGCAACAGTATAGCAACATCTACAACGCTGCAGACATGCACACTCATTTTGTTTTACTGCACGCATTTCAGAGTTTAACTGCTTAATCCACTCACAGGGAAAATATAGATTAATGATATAACAAAAATATAATATTCTAGGACATGAAGACTTATGAGATATCTGAGTAAACAATGAAAGCCTATTGCATTTTCCAAATACTAATGGAACATCTCTTGATGCAATTGCAAATAATATGCTGACATTATGATGACAGATGCACTTTTGAACTAGGGCAAGTACCTTGATTGAAGAGAACCCAGTCCGTCATAAACTCAAGAGAAAAATGACTCAAATTACCTGCTGAAAACCATTTTGACCTAAAGATGGTTCAAGAGTGAATTTCAATTTTGTATCAACCCCTAGAAACAAAAAGGAAAAAAAAAAAAAAAATCATGGTCATTATTTTCATTTAGCTCAGAGGGAAAAAAAACCCACAACTGAAATAAGAACACAAGATTTCAGCTACATGTTTCAACAACTACATTTCAACCTGTTTCTGTGAATTCATGTCTTCACAGTGGATTCAAGGCACATGTTAAGAAGTACATGGACAAAATGTTTTTAAAATGCAGTAATACCCTCTTTACTCTAATGATGTAGTTCGGCACAACTCATTTCACCGAACACGTAGTTCACTACTCTGCAAACTGTATTTGTACACTGCAAACTATCACATGCATCCACAGAAAAAA